AACACAGTTAATCAGGAATTCCAAAACCAAACAAGAGATCTGCACACCCTCTTGGGTGGCAAACATCCACCCTGTACTCAGGTGCACTACAATGGGAGAGGTTCCTCCTCGAACAATCACCATGATCATCAGTTACAACCACCATGCAGATCACATGGTGGTTACAGTTCTGTGGATACAAAACTCCAGCACCTTCAGGAGTCTCCCTCCTGCCCCACTTTCAGTCATTCATCCACCTACCCCCAAGGATAACCACTGTGCAGCCCTCAAGCATAACAGATTCATTTTAATCAATTTTTGAACTTTATATACATATCTATCATATCATATGTATGAGCTTATGTTCGTTTCTCTGGTTCAACATCATAATTATGAGATGTCCCCATGTTGGCAGGTGTAGCTGTACTGGTTCATTCACTTACTGCTGTACACCATTTTATCAAGACACCACAATTCATTTACTTGATTTACTCTTTACACATTTATTTACTCTACTATGAATAAACATTTGAGCTGTTTCTAATCTAGGGCTCTTATGAACAGTGCAGCTTTTAACGTGTGTGCAACGTTTCAAAATGATTTTAAATGCCTAACATAAAAGACCTTCCCAGCATTTTTGCAGGAGCCAGAAGTCTAACCTCCATCCCACATATCAGAAGCTGAGGTATTCAATCAATACCAGAAAAATCAGAGTGGCAGAGCTTAGTCTCAAACTCAGGCCTTCAGTCTCCCCTATTACTGTTCCCTCCTTTCTTCCACCACAGCACTGAAAAAGGAAAGAGGAGGGGAGGGTGCTGACAGGAGTCAGAGGTCATTTGACCAGAGCAAACCAACAGGCCAGACCAATCCACAGAGAGAGGGGCTCAGAGAGAATGGCCCTCAGAGCAGACCAAATCCTTCAAGCCACGGCTTCCTCTTTCAGGTTGTGTCTCAGAACGGGCTTGGGGGGAGCCCAGCAGAAATAGGGGAGACTCGTAACAATTCCAACTCTAATCTAAAAAGTACAAATGCTTTTCTCAATGAGAAAAACAAGGACATAACCATTTCAAATTCCTCAGATTGGGCACATTTCTGTCAGATAATACCGAAAGCTGTCAAGGATACAGACTAATCACAGAGTGGACAGGAGTGTTCAAGTCAGAGCCACCATTTTCAAATACATTCTGGTATATTAACTAAAACCATTCCATCTAGCAATTCCTCTTCTAGGTAAAATACACAAAAGAAAAGCTCCCTGAAACATCACCTATAAAAGTAAAAAACTAGAAACCTAATGACCCTGGGTAGGACGGGGCTAAAGAAATTATGGCTTACTTTTTTTTTCTTTTTAAAGGACTTCTCTGGAGGTCCGGTGGTTAAGAATCCACCTTTCAATATAGGGGGTGCAGGTCCAATCCCTGGTCAGGAGTACTAAAGATCCCACATGCCACAAGGCAACAATGAGGAGCCCATTGCCCGAGTGCTGCAAGGAAGACCCAGCATAGCCAAAAGAAAAAAAGAAAAAACTTACACCTGAAACTGGGGGATAGGTAGACAAGCTGAAGAATCAATGAGACAGACCCACCTACAGGTTACAACTTGGATGAAACTGAACATGATGGTGAACAAAAGCAGGAAGTTCCAAAAGACTAAGTATGATATGATACTATTTATACATTTTTTTATACATGTTTTTAAAACACACAAAATAACCTATCATTTACCAATATAAATGTTTTTAATAACACTCAAAAAGACTAAACATTATTTCTCAACATATATGTACATATTTGGGAAAGCACAAAGGGAAAGAAAGGAAAAGCAATTTAGGGGGTTTATACCTCATCCTAGTGTTTTGTTTCCCTTAAAAAAATAACCTAAAGGAAATATGGCAAAATGTTTATATTTTTTAAGTCTGGGTGGGGAATGGATACCTGCATGTTTGCTGTATAATCCCATGTACTTTTCTATATATTTAAAATATTCCACAATTTTTAAAATAAAAGATTAAAATCAGTGAAATATTTTTACCTATCAGATTAGCAATAATTTAAAACTTGATAATACTGCTAAAATTGTAAAGAAACTAATGTGCATAACCAGTTGGTGGAAGATTACAAACTAAGACAAGCTTTTTGAAGGGTAATTTGGCAACATCCATCAGAAATTTAAATACGCATACCCTTTGCCCAAGCAAATCCCACCTCTAGGAATTCATCGCATGAATTTGTATACAAAAGCAGCTTTATCACTTGATAAGAGTTAAAAAAATCAGTGAACCATGACTTTTTTGTAGGAAAATGATGTTTAAAGTCCAGTACACCCGTACAATTATGTAACAGCCACTTTCAAAATGAGGTAGAACCACGTATCTATACTGACATGAAATGAGAGCCAAGACATCTTAAATGAAAAAGCAAGCTGCATATAATATCAACTGTATAAAACTTTTCATTTAGATATTTTCTATTTAGACATAATAGATATGTACAGTTTGGATATGCACAGAAAATATCTGAAAAGTTATAAAAGAGTTTGTTAAAAATAGTCACATCTGCAAGGGAGGTGTGGCTGCCAGGGGAGGGAGACCCTTTTCCCTTAGTATTTGTTTATATTGATTTTACAGCAATCAAATGTCACTTTTATACTTGGGGGTGAGTACACAAAAACTGCACATTCTAAGAGGTTTAGAGCCACTGAACTGGAATGTCAGTAAAGCAGGGCCCAATAAATCTGTATTTTTAACAAGACACCCAATGACTCCCAGGCAGCTAAGCTGGCCACTGCTCCAAGTGATACCTGGGTCAGATGACATGTGGAGGGAAGGAAAGGTTCTCAGTGACAGGTCTCTCAAGTTCTCAGAAATAAGCCTGTCCCCAGAAGTAACCATGTATTCAACGGCAGAGAAAGATAAACTTACCTAAAAGACACAGAATGGACACCAAAGCCAATGGGACTGGCCAGTAAGACATCATTGACATCTCTAAGGAAACAGGGTTTAACCCTAATAAAACAAGCATTGCCCAGGCAAGATGATGCACCTATCTGACAACTGACCCAGTCCTTTCTTCTTCATGCCAGGAATACCCACAACCAACAGCATCAGGCAGAACAGAACTTAGGTTTCATTTTACTCCCCAGAACAGAGGCATTTGATAAATAGTTGTTGAATGAACAAGTCAATCTATCTAAGCCTGAGGACTTCTAACTCCAATGCTGTGATCCAATCCTCAATAAACAACTTTCTCTTCCTATATAGGTCTAGACAAAGGAAAGGGATTTTGATAGCTGTTGGCTTCGTTTTAAATAAATAACTGGTACCTGGCATTGAGCTTCAGTCTACTGCTATCTGGTTTCCCCGGTTGCACAGTGGTAAAAAATTCACCTGCTAATGCAGGATACTTGAGTTCGATCCGTGGGTCAGGAAGATTGCCTGGCGTAGGAAATGGTAACCCACTCCAATATTCTTATCTGGAAAATTCCATGGACAGAAGGAGCCTGGTAGACTACGGTGCATGGGATCACAAAGAGTCGGACACGCACATGCATGCACGCTACTGCTATCTGATTCATACCAGCCTCCTTCTTAAGAGATACCCATTCACTGGTGGGCACCTGAGCAGGACTCTGGTGAAGTCACTAAGGTGGTAAGCACTGGAGTGTCCTATAGCCCACACGGGGAGTGCCCTCCCTGGTGACTACTGGTCAGCTGACCTTCTTCACGTAGCTCCTTTTAGCTCAATACTTGGGCTTGCCAAGTGCACAGCTAGACGGCCTACAGCTGAGGGTGACTGAGCTGCAAGGACCAATTCTGTGGCCGCCAGCCATATGCAGCTACTAGCTCCTAAAATATTGTTAGTCTGAATTGAAATGTTCAGGAAGGGTAAAACACATACTAGATTTTAAAGGCTGAATATAAGAAAAAGAAAATACAATGGCTTATTAAGTAGTAATGTTTATACTGATTATATGCCGAAATGATAGTATTTTGGATATTCTGAGTTAACAAAATTTATTAAAAGAGATTTCATCTGTTTCCTTCTATGTCTTAAAATATGGCCACTAGAAAAAATTATATGCTAACTCACATTATATTTCTAATGGATAATGCAGTACATATGACCAAGAAACAGCCACCTGACCCATTATGCTTCACAGCCTGACTAAGGAATGACCTCTCACAGGTCAGAGATCACCTGAGTTTGCACGGCCCTGCCCCACTGTCCTGAAACCTAACTCCATACTTCCTTAGAAACAATGTCAGATATAACAGAAGTTCCATAAACCACCCAACACCTATGTATTTTAAAGGAAAGGCTTCAAACCAAAAAACATATGATGATGTCACAATTTTAGGAAAACTGAATCTGCGATGCTTGTAGAATTTACTGGAAACTTATTAATTATTCTGCAATCCCCAAGAAACATGAAATTTTTCAATTTCTGTAACTTTCAGAAGAAATCTCCAAAAAGGTTCTCTTGTAATAAACAAGACATGTACATGAGTTTTTATGGTAACCCTTACTACCATCACATTGCAGCTTCTGTGCAAAATGAACACTGTTGTTAGAAAACATCTCCAGATACAATTATTATGAAATTGGACCCCACAGGAGAATCACACATCACCTCTTAGTTCTTTCATTCTTTTGTTCTGTTAGCAGGGATGGAGCACAGGTTGGAGTGGGGGCAGCAGGGAGTGGGGATGACTGCACCCATGCTATTTTCAGCACTAGTTCCCCTGCTGGCTGCTAATGGAGCTCCCCTTCCTTGACAGTCCCCACTCCATACCTTCAAAGGCTAAGGGACTTTCTCAAGGCAACTCGAGCAGCAAGAGGTAGAGGTAAGAATAAGAATCAGATATTTCTGTTTCTTCCAGAAGGGTTACAATTCCATGATGCAATTCCTGAAAATTTGTCATTTTTAATTTCGGGGGATTCGACTGGACCAGACCAACCTAACACCCGCTTTTTGGGTCAGCCCTTCATGATACAGATACATTGCAGAACCAAAATGCTTACTTGGGGAACTGGCTGAGACCCGCTTCCTGGTCAGGCTCTCCTGGCTGGCCTTGTCTGAAGCTGAAGAGCCCCTGGTCTGGACGTGCCTCTTTCCTGGGTTCTCCTCTGGCTCTGGCGGCTTTTCTATTCCGTGGAAATACTTCATGTGATAATGCAACAGTTTGGCTTTGCGGAAAAATTTTAAACAATCCACAACCGTGCACCTAAACTTGTGATTTAGGTCGCTGGCTGGTGCTTTAGATGTCACAAAATCATTTGTTCTCTTAAAAGTATTTGTTACTGGAAAAAAAAAAAAAGATCCCTCATGCTTATTGGAGCTATTACAATACATGCATCAACACAACACATGGCAACAGAGTGAGAGAGCAGCATGCGTATGTAGAGGGAGACATCGATGACCACTGCTGTTTGAAAGAATGGATAGAACTTCAGGGTAAATAACAAAGACTCAACTGTGATTCATCTCTTGAAAGAAGAGATCAACTTTTTTTTTTCTTTTTTAAAGCAGCCATACAAGTTCTCACGGTTTCAGAAGAACAAGGGAAAATCCTAAAAAAGAAAAAAACCAGGAACCCAGCCCAGCACTTGTTACTCATGAGTTGGACCAGACTCAGACCTTCCATCATTCAGATATGTTTGTGTAGGCAGGACTAGAGAATATTCCAGTAGGATCTCTTTATGAAACCAAAAGGATCTCACACAAGGAGAATCACTATTACAAAGGTTTTAGTATAGAGCTTTTGAGCTCTCAGTACGATGTACTCTGTTTGATCAAGAGGACTCAGAGAAGAAAAAGGAAAAAAGACAACCAACTGAGTGAAGCTGGAAGGCATGTAGAGAACTCAATGATCACATTCAAAGAGACAAAAAAAGTTTGACACCCCCTCCCTAAACCAAGAGTCTCCTCAGGTGGCTTTAGTGGTAAGGATCTGCCTGCAAATGCAGGTGACACGGGAGATGCAAGATCTGTCAGGAAGATCCCCAGAGTAGGAAATGGCAACCTACTCCAGTATTCTTGCCCGGAAAATTCCACGGACAGAGGAGCCTGGTGGGCTACAGTTCATGGGGTCACAAAGAGTCAGACATGACTGAGCACGCACACAGGCCCCAAACCAAACAAGCAGAAGGCAATTGCCTGTCATGCATCAATAATGGAAAGTAATGCTGTCACAAGGAAATCATGAGTATTAGAAACTCAATTTATTGAAGACTCCCTTCACAATACCCTCATCCCAATGAGCGCAATCACCTTAAACTCAAGTCACCCCTACCCTACAGATTACATCATCCAAGAATATCCTGAATGTATGGACCTTTCTTGAGTGAATCAACTTTTTTCTAAATGGAATGATACAATTTTCATTACAAGCAAAGAGCATGCTGAACTTTTGGTAAATATTATGATTACCTTTTCAAGTACCATTCCATAATAAGAAGGAATTTAAAAAATTCTTAAGTCAATCTAAATCACACTCTACATTTCAAAATCAGCAGGAAGGTATGATTATAAAACTGGTAGGCTTGATGATCTGATGTATACACACACACACCCCCCAAAGCAGAATGTCTTAACTCATTTTCTATCCATGACAAGATATAAGAAAGAGGTTCAAATCAGTCAGATACAGTTAAGAAAAAAAAACATGAAGTGAAATAGAAGACATACTTCTCCCTACACATAGTTGCACCAGAAAAACAAAAAGTCAGTAAAGAAATTCAAAATTCAAACCTCTAACATATCCTAAAATGTTCTCTTAAAACAAAATACCATTTCTCTGGAATCTCCTCCCCTTTGGCCTATTAAGTTGAACCATATCAATTTGCCATTTTTATAGATTAAGAAAGGTGAGATATTGGCCATTTCAAATGGTCCAACCTAACAGTTCCTCTCCCACCTAACAATCTTTCAAAGATTACTGCAGAAAATCCCACTTAACACTGTGTAAACACACCTAAGGTCTGAGGAGGTCAGAGAGCACCAAGCCTGCCTACTACCACCGGAGGCCTGCAGCAGTCAGGTTCAGCTACAGTAAACTCAGCTATCCTTCGGCTTGGGTCTGAAGCCATGTTTGTGATCAAGTATTTATTTTTTTTAAAAAAAGCCAAAATAGGGCTTCCTTCATGGCTCAGTGGTAAAGAATCCGTCTACCATTGCAGGAGACATGGGTTCAATCCCTGATCTGGGAAGATCCCACATGCCTCAGAGCAGCTAAACTCACGCGCCACGCCACAACTACTGAGCCTGTGCTCTAGAGGCCAGGAGCCTCAACTGCTGAAGCCTATGCACCCTAGAGCCTGTGCTCTGCAAGAGAAACCACTGCAACGAGAAACCTTCACTCTGCAACTAGAGTAGCTCCCGCTCTCTGCAACTAGAGAAAAGCCTGAGTAACAACAAAGTCCCAGCACAGCCAAAAATAAATAAACAAATAAAATTATTAAAAAAAAAAAAAAAGCCAAAATACAAACACCTTAGAAGTTTTTTAAAAGTTAACAATAATGAGAACTTTGAATCAATTCCATGAAGAATTACCATTCTTTCTACTCAGAACATTTGCACCCTTGTGTACACACACCAGCCATTTGCATAAGGCAAAGACAGGACAGTGGTTAAAAGTGGGGGCTCTGCAGTTGGGCAGCCTGGTTCAAATCCTGGCTCCTCTAATTACTCCTTCTGCCTCCTAGCACCTTCATATGCAGAGTGGAGATAGCAATAATGGTAACTACTTCACTGACTTCAAAGAATTAAATGAACTGCATGCAAAGATTCTAAAACAACATCTGTTCAATAAATAGTGAATATATAGTACAATTTTGCTCAATATTCTGGAATAAGCTATAATGGAAATGAAATTTTTTAAAGTATAGGACTTACCTGGTGGCTCAGTGGTAAAGAATTTGCTTGCCAATGCAGGAGACATAGGTCCAATCCTTGGTCTGGGAAGATCCCATATGCTGCAGGGCGACTAAGCCCACGCATCCCAACTACTGAGCCCGTGCTCTAGAGCCTGGGAACTGCACCTACGGAAGCCTGCTCTCCCTAGAGCCCGTGCTCTGCAGCCAGAGAAGCCCATGCGCCGTGACTAAAGAAAAGCCTGTGCGGCAACAAAGGCCCAGCACAGCCAAAAATAAACAAACACATAAATAAAGCATTTTTTTAAAGTATATGTATACAGTATCATTTTGGATTAAAGAACAAATGTGACTTATGAACAGTCTTTCAGCAATTAACCTCTCACAGCAGAAGGGCAGAAGCTCCCTTCACCCCCAGTCTCACTGCATGCCATTGCAGATTTAGGGCAGTATAATGGAAACCATCCAACTTTAAATCCTAGCTCTACCCTTTATTAGCAGCATGAATAAGCTGTGTATGGTTTTTTAAAACTCTTCTGATTACCCAGATTCCCACCTATTTCAAAAGGGTTAGAGAGAGGGCTATAAGATAACATATACACTTGGTGCAAAGCAGGCCATTTCAAATAGAAAATAATCCTGCTAAACAGGCTTCTGTCATTTATGGAACGTGGCTAGAAACAAATTATAATTATCAACCAGAGTGAATACTCCTTCGACCAGCCCTCATAAGCTCTGGCTAGAAGACACATCACTCGGTAAGCATTCAGTTTTCTCTACATCCTACTAGAAATGTGAAGTCCAAAACCAACCTTAAGATTCCCAGCATGGCCATTCAGTGGTATTATTACCACCACCTTTCAGGACACCTTACTTTCACTAATGCAGCCCCCCTCCAAAAAAATTTTTTTAATAACTACATTATACTAGGTGCTGGACAGTACCAAGCTTGATCCACCAAAATCCTGAACTTCATGTGGTTTGTCTTTTTAAAACACAAATTAAAGTGCATTTCCTCCAAAAGTTTTACCAAACTCTATGCTGGAAGTTACATTTATCCCTAATAAACTCCACCTGATGGGCCTGGTGCACTGGGAAGACCCAGAGGGATCACGTAGAGAGGGAGGTGGGAGCGGGGATCGGGATGGGGAATACATGTAAATCCATGGCTGATTCATGTCAATGTATGACAAAACCACTACAATATTGTAAAGTAATTAGCCTCCAACTAATAAATGAGAAAAAAAAAAAGAATCCTGAGTTCTGGGTACACATCAGCAGAGTAGATTTAGCTATTCAATGTGATTTCTTCCTTATGTATCAAGTATGATAATAAATAAAGAAGAAATTAAAAAAATAAAAAATAAATAAATAAACACCTGATTATTTTAGTCCAAGAACTTTGTAACTTTTGTCTCTGTAACCCTATATATTCTTAGGTCTTTATCCAGGCTGTTGATAAAGATCCAGTAGTGTAGAGCTGAGGACAGCCTTTAGAATAACCTTCAGGCTGACATCAACTAATCTACAATCTCTGGTTAGAGTTGCCTAAGCCAACTGAACTTGATCTATGCAAATTACCAATGCACTCAGACATCTATTTCCTCTTTGTTCACAGATAGATTTTAAGAGGGATGTGGTCAAACTGTCTGCTAAAATAAAGAGATACCTGGTCTGAGCGCTATAGTAGGCTCCTCACATTCCTATGTTGAAACTTAATTCCCAAAGTGATGGTATTTGGAGGTGGAGCATTTGGGAAGTGATTATGTCACAAAGACAGAGCCCTCATGAACAGGACTAGTGGCTTTATAAGAGACTCCAGAGAGCTCCCTTGCCTGTACCTCCATGTGAGGTTACTGTAAAAAGATAGCTGTTTATGAACTAGGAAGCTGGCCCTCAACAGACACTGAATCTGCTGGCACCTTGATCTTGAACTTCCCAGACTCCAGAACTCTGAGAAATATATTTCTGTTGTTTATAAGACACTCAGTCTATGGTATTTTGTTACAGCAACCCAAATGGATTACGACAGACAGTCTACCAACCCAGTATAAGCCTCTCAAAAGGAAGTACATTCAGTTTGGCAGGATAAAAACTCTTCCCCACAAAAGCAAAACCCTTGATTCCTCACAAGCAAGCAGAAGGTGGAAACAGCTAGACCTCAAAAGGTAAACAAGCTTGGCAATCAGGTGGGCCACCTTCCTCAGAGTTTGTACTACAGGGGCAAAGGTAAACAGATAAACTCCACAGGAGAAAAGATACTACCTGCTGTCCCTGTCACAAAGCTCCTGACCAAACCTAGAGCCCTTTTCAAGACAGCAACACTAATAAGACAAAATGAGTTGCTGGTTTTGTCTGAAGAAGTAATAAATATTTGAGAATTATGAATCTTCAATCATGGAAGTTCAAGAAGTAAGATTTCCCCACAA